CCCAGGTATTCAAAAGTTGGTCCCACGGTATGACAAATGTCTCACTTCCGGTGGCGAATATGTTGAAAAATAGCTGGACACTTGCTGTATCTGTTGCAATAAATATTTCCATGAAATTGTGTTTTGTTTCTGTAAACGGCCCCAGGGAAACTTACTTTTGGGACGCGCCTCGTATTTATTGGTCAGGCCTTATACTGTTTTGAATAACATTATGATCGAACTTGAATATCTGAGGGGTTTGCTGGAAAATGTAGGTTGATGGTTGCAGGCAGATTATTGACATACATGAAGAAAAGCAGAGTATCAAGTATTGAACCTTGAAGATCTCGCATGTTTTATAACACCCCAGTTTGAGTAGGTGATATGGTATGAATCTGATAATTTAATTTCTTCTTACTGTTTCCTGTCATGTAGGTAAGATTAAAACCACTGTCCAGCTATACCCATAATACCATAAAAACTTAGTTTTGTCAATAATAATTCATGATTTACACAATCAAATGCTTTAGTAAGATCACAAGATATTCTGCCAACATGCGGTTTGTTGTTAAGTGCACATACGACTTCATTTGTATAGTTGAATGGAGCTTTATTTGTTGAGACTTTCTACTAAATCCAAACTGTTCATCTGCAAAGATGTTGCTTGAGATTAAGAAAAGAAGTATTGTATAAAAATTTTATACATGACTTTCTCAAATATTTTAGAGAATGCTGTTAGTAATGAAATTGGTCTGTAATTGGATATGAAAGTTTTTTCCCCTTTTTATACAGTGGTCTCACTTTTGAATATTTAAGGCATTCTGGGAAAGCTACTATTGCCATTGATTGATTGCACAGGTAACATAAAGGAGCACTAATATAGATTGCACAGCTTTTACGTAACTTAGTTGATATTCCATCATAACCACGTGAATATTTTGATTTGAGAGAATTTATTATACTACTTTCAATTTCATTTGCTGTCTTGGGTGTAAGATTTATGTTTGGGGAGGCTTTAGAAATAGCTTCAGCTAGATATTTTGTTGCATCTTACCGAGTTTCTGGTGTCATTGTTTATTGTTTCTGCGACTGTTAAGAAGTAAGTATTAAAAAAGTTTGCTATGCATTTAAGACTCTTTATTACATTTTTATTTATCTTTATTGATGGTGTCTCTTCTTCTGTATTTTTGTCTCCTGTTTTGGTGGGAAAACTTGTTTAATAAATTCTTAGGAAGATGTTTTGGAATGTGTTAAATTTTGAACTTACGTACATCATGGTTGTTTAATACTGATTCACAGTTTTAATTACTTATGTGTTGTAAATTCTGTAACAGTGTCATTATTTATAAGTCTAGTTTTAACATAATTATGACTGTTGGAAGTTGACTTTATATTTTTTATGACTAGAAGTTCAGCATAATGATGAGATAACTCATTTACCACAGGTTCAATAGAAATATGATCTTTCATAAAACTGTCTATAACAGCATTATAAATGGCAGTACTACAGTAATTCTGAATTCTCGTGGGGAAATTAAGTACTGACATGACATTAAATGATGTTAGTAGAGAGTTAAACACTGGAAACTTTCATGAAGATAATATTTATGTTACCACAGATGAAAACTTCTGATTTAGGTTTACAGAGATAATTTGTGATGATTTCTAAGTTGTTAGTTGAAAATCACCTGTGGGTCATCTGTATATAGATAGGATATACATTAAGGAAAACTGTATTCTACTTGCACAGTACATCCTAAGTCCTGTTTCTTGTAATGGTGATTTATGATGATAAAGAAAGATTACAGTTGTTTTTATTGAAGATCTAATGACACGTCACTCGTGGACGGAATTAAAATAACGAATCCGAAACAGGCTAGTTCCCTGTCAGAAGACAATCTTCTCTAATTGAGAATTTCTGTGTGAATTACAGAAGTAACATCCACCCACATGGCCCCCTTTTGTTGTAAGTTGGACACGTTTACGCACTTAGCTTCAGTGCTTTTCAGGGAAACTTTTTCAGTTACATATTTTGTTATTTTGAATTTCTGACTGATGAATGCCTCCTCTCTGTAGGATTATCTTATGGACATTGAACCCATCATTGGAATGCATTGTTGAACCCTTTACTGGACTACAGTATTGTAGAAGACACAGTTTTAACTCCATCAGTACTGTGCTTGCATTTGAGTTCAGACTGTGTTAACAGAAATGGAATTTTTCGTTTTGCGATGGGGAAGTGAAAATTGGTGGAATTAACTTTAGAAAATGTTATTGAGGCTGGGGTGTAATGTGCAATGCATGGGAGTGGGCTTCAAAAGATTATTATTAATACTATTGTCATTAATTCTTAATTCAAGTAAGCCTACAGTAGTTAATGTATGTAAGTAAATAGATTATATTATCATTAGACCACAGTCTGATTTTTCTCTTTTCCTCTATCTTGGACACCTCTGTAAGTTGGACACATTTTCATGGAACCCCAAGTATCCAACTTAGAGAGGTTTTACTGTATATATGATTGAATTATAAGTCATTTATTACAGACACTCACTCTTCCACGATCGTTAAATCTCTTGAATACATAATATTGATCATTTAAATGACTGTAATTCTAGTTTTCTATGCCAAACACAATTTATTGTAAGAAATTCCAATTGTTCGTCTCCACTCTGTGCTAATCGGGCTAGTCTCGAACGGAGCCAGCGGGATCCACAATCTACTTTCCTTAATAGCTTGTGCCCATGGGTCGCAGCACCATCGCAGAACTGCTTGAGAAGTCTCAAGTACAGTCTACGAATTGTACGCTTACCGTTAGTTGGTCTGTGCTGTAGTCTCTGGTTTAAACGCCGTTTTCGCGTCCGTTATTTATGTCGAATGGTAACGTGTGTTCTGTGGAACGTACATATCACTGTCAGTTTTGGTAGGAAATTTTGTGAGGGAAAGTAATTCGCGTTGTGGAGTTTTTTTTATTGATTTATAATCGTTCTACGTTCATGGTCGTGTTAATGTGTGTAACTTTGAATATATTTAGAAAAGAGAGGTCTGTATTTGAGAGAATTTAATGTACTGTATTTATAGTAATAAAAGTGAAATGTGTAATCCCGTTTAATATGAATGGAGATTTAGTACTGTCCACAGTATTAGTTTACGTAATTCTTGGCATGAAAGGTAGTTATGTTTAAATTTTTATTTTTGTTTCACGTGTAGGAATTTATTTACGCCATGAATCGTTGGTTGTGTTTATGAGTTCCGACAGATTATTTTTTAAAGCCAGTCTCCTAAATCTGATTCAGTTTTTTACGTAAAATGGCGTTCTTTTCATTATTGTCGAACTGCCTTTGCATGTTTTGATGAAAAAAAAACCGTGACGAAAAGAGCAACCGGTATCTTATTGTAGTTAGACACTGAAATTACTTTTGTTACAAGTACCATTCTGGCAGCTGAATATCATTTGGTGGAGTGTATTTTTGATTTGAAGAAGTGTTCAGTTGCACTTTTCTAATTTAACATTACTGCACCATAACCAAAATAGTTTCTATAACTTAAAAGGGAAAATTGTGAAGTGCAGCTTAAAATTCAAATGTATGACAGGATTCTGATTTCTCAGGGTATTTTGCAGGTGTACCCTTGCATCCAGTCTTGTTAGTTGTGTATAACACTATAATAATGTGTATTATACAGTGTGAAGAATGTTTTGTGCTAATATTATAATTTGATAGTTTGTAGCTAGTGGCAGACTTCTTTTTATTTTTTTCTTGCAGAATGAGACTGTTTAATTAACTCTTAAATTTCATCACATGTTCAATTTTTAATGTTAGAACACATGCTTTATACTGTAATTGAAGAGTTCTGAAAGGCAGAAATTTTGATTTTAGTGTGGTATGTGTTGTAAGACATACTAGTGAGTGTTCATGGCTCATTCACATTTGTTGAGTTCCTGTGATTCTTGCTGTCATTTGTGTTGTCTTGTTGTAAATTTGTTCAGGCATTTTCATTGTGGACTCTAGTGTTACAGGTTTTTTCTTGTGATCTTCCTCTTGTACTTTGCCTTTCCAGATTTCTAGCTTCAGATACATGCTGTAGATTTCGGTAAACAGGGTGTGGTCCAAGTCAGAGTACAGTATGTCACATTTAGAAAATAACTAGAAATGTAGTACAGTCACAGAAACACATCCCAATAACAAAACACACTACAACATACTTTATAGGCTTGCTTACAGCTTAGTATTGCAAAAATGACTTGTTAGTTTTACCCCTGTCTGCCCGTCTGCTTGTAAAAGGTGTAGTACTGATGAACAGGTTTCATGAAGTGTTATGTCTGAGAATTATACTAAATGTTGACATTCTAATTTTGGTTAAAATAGAGCAGCAGTAATGGGCACTTACATGATCTAAAAATGTTTTTGAGTGCAGAATTGACTAGGGAATCCTCCATGATGATGTCATATAGTCAGATAGGTGCCATTGTCCATAGACAGCTCTGATGTCATTGGCATTATTCACAAATGTAGAAGGTCAGGTTGATGCAAATAATTGAATATGCTTGAAGTATGTTTATTAGCAAATAATGTACCAAATGAATGAAATGGATCACTGTGCATACAAATTCCACACATTTAATGTAGAACTACATAGAATAACTGTCCTGGAGCTGATGTTGGTTCTGTGAGTAGTAGTGTAGATGTACTTCTTCTTCTTCTTCTTCATCATAACTACCACGACCATGACAATGATTGTGATGATGAAGTACATTCAGGATGAATGCTTGGGATATTCCTGTTTTCCTTGAATGTGAGCTTCTCAAAGATTCTCGTTTCTCAGCAATAATTATGGCATCTTCAGTGGCTGGCATTTGTGCACTGTGTATTATCTGCATTATACACATGCAGGAGGTGTAAGACTTATGTTTCCTAAAGATGCTCTAGTTGTCTAAACACATTAGTGACTGGATGTCACCAAGGATAACGTTGTGTATATTACCATGGTACATTTATATCTTGGATGTCACAGACACCCAGATTTAGGAGGATGTTGCCGTATTTATTCCGTGTGTATTACATGAACCTTTGGTCACAGCTATGCTGTATTGTACTCTGTGTGTCTAAATATTACTGGGTAGTACATGTTGCTGTGTTTGATGGTGACATGTATTTTTGAAACTAAACATCACATGACATTTATTGTTAAATTTATGCCACACGTTTGTGTACAAGGAGAGCTTGTGTGCAAATTTTTGTTCATCCTGTCTTATTATGTAATGAATCGATTTATTGTAAGATTTGAGGTTTTCACAGCGATGAGTATGACGATTTCTGTCTTCTGGGTTGTTGCGCTTTGTAGTCTGGTTGATGTTTACCAATGTTTCGGAGGTCATACTGCCTCTGTCATCAGGGTGATTCATCATCGCAACAACCCAGAAGACAGAAATCTTCAATTGATTTATTGTTTGAAGAACCTATTGCTCTGAATGTTATCAGGGAAGATGATTGTGTGTGTTTGTTTCAGGTATAACTGAAAAGAAAGATGCTAGCGTCATCACAGCAATTTTGTGTCAAGTGGAACAGTTACAGCTCAAATCTACAAAATGTGTTTCCACGTCTTTTAACCAGTGAACATTTTGTGGACATAACACTGGCTTGTGAGGGTCAGATGATTAAGTGTCATAAAGTTGTATTATCAGCATGCAGCACATATTTCGAGAATCTCCTCATTCATAACCCGTGTCAGCATCCCATTATCTTTATGAAAGACATGAAACATCGGGAAGTTCAGGCTCTTGTGGATTTCATGTACAAGGGGGAAGTGAATGTAAGTCAGGAGGAGTTGAACTCTTTGCTCAGAGCTGCAGAAGCATTACAGATTCGTGGATTGTGTGGTTCAGACCATTCAAATGTAGGAAATCAGCAGAACTCACCAAGGCAGCAGGTGGGTGAGAACAGGCTGCCAGCTGTTTCATTACCTCATGATACTGTATTATCAGGCAGAGAATCCCCGCCCTTCAAACGAAGAAGAACCGTGGCAGAAGAACAGGAGCAGACATCTAAAGTTGCACCATCCCAAAACAACAGAGCTTCCATAGGTTCTTCTTCTTCCTTGATGGAAGTTAATAATTTGCCAGTCGCTGCGACACCGTCCAGCCATAACACTTTTTTGGAGACTGACTCTTATTCTGACCATGTAGAGAATAAGGTAAGTACTTCATTAGTTTTCTTCTACCGAAAGGTGTGAAAATGTTGCACAGAACTCCATAATTATTGTAGTCTTTGGTTTTGATTTTGTTTGACCTGTTTATTCATATGGAAAAGTTCTATGTTCCTTCTGCTCTTGATCATTTAAAAATTTTGTGGGGTACATTCAGTCTTTTGCACCATAATACCTGGGAATATCTTTCAGATAGTTGTAAGAAGATAAAAATTATTATGTTTATATACTTTTCTTATCTTAACCTTTCTCTTCTCTTTGACATGCTTAAAATTACTGTAGACCTGGGCGTCATATGCTAATGACTGGTGTACTCAGAATGTTTTTTTTTATTCCAAGCAAGAATAATATATCATTATGAATATCTGTTTTCATGCATTGATTGCAAGACTATCTTGAAGCATTCAGCAGATGTTTTTAGCCCTGTGTTACAATCATCTCTGTCTTGAAGTAAATTATATTTATGAGAACATATTAGAACACCTTAATTTTCACACCCTAAGCAGTAGGAGGCACCACTTAAATGTGCTCTTTTTTGTTACAAATTCTATGCTTCCTTACTTGAAACTGTTGACATTCACACTGATTGGATAGGAGGCTGGGTGGATGCAGAGGCTAGAGGAAAAGTCCTCTGCCCCTATTGGGGATCGAATCCCGGTCATCCAGTCCGTAGTCAGTCACTATACTGACAGTGCAACCTGGGTCAATGAATGAATATTAACAATTTTAACAACAACCATGAAAATAATGTCACATATTATAATACCCAAGAATTTTATGTTATTTTAATGTGTTGAATGTGTTTGGTAATTCATAATGTGAAGCTTTCGCAGCGGCTGCCATTAATAAATTCTACTCTGGCCATCAGCAGTGTCAGATGATTAAAACTGCATAGTTTCACTATTTGCATTCAAAATATGCAATCTATGATTTTGTCTATTTTTTTATTGCAGAAGGTAATAAAACAAGAACTGGATATGGAAAATTGTTACATTGAAGGGGAAGTAGAGGCAGATGGCCCAGATGAGGACTACGGCTTCGAACATCAGGTGAGTGTTCCAGTAAGAAATTTATTTATTCCATTTTGTGGTTAATCAGAATCTGGATTCGGAGAGTGGAAATGAGTGTCAGTAAATATGAATATTTACAGCGTGTATTGTCCATCCACGAATAATTAAACATAAATAATTTAGACTGATTTTTGAAAGTATGTACACATTATAATCCATAATATATTTTAAGTTTATCCTCCAGCTGACACTGCAATTGAGCACTTCCAAAGTACAAGTCATATGCATCCTGCTTGATCAAAATAATTGAAACCTCCTTCTGACATTATGATCAAGGAGAAAAGTAGCACCAAACATGTCAGAAAATATATATTTTCTTTGATTTTACTTACTGCTTACAAGAGGGAGTTGTCCCTGTTCAACATCATACTGAGGAAATGAGCTCTGTCTTTCATTAGTGGAGGTGTGGGCAAAGTACAAAGTAGCATGATAACAGAACAGAAAATTTTGTCAGGCTAGTATATATTCCAGTTCTAAAATAGTGTGCTAAATTATTCATTCAGCCCTATTATGCAATGTAGTATGTTTCTATGTAGCCAAAACCCTGTGTTTTTGATTAGGTTTTATGTTCCCCCATCTACCACTAGTTTTACGAAGACTGCAACCAACTAGCGAGACCTCAGCTCATCTTGGCGTTGTTGGGTACCATACCATGAAGGTGTAACGTTTCTTAATTTCATTATAAATGGGAATGGGAAATAATTGGGGAAAGAACCACTGGTGCCTTTTGGTTATGTTCGCTGAGTTCCAGTTCCATTGTTATTTTGGTGGTGGGTGAAAGTGTCCCAATATCTCTGCCGAGAATCACCGTCTGGTCGTTTTACTGACTGAAATAACAGTACTCATAATGAGCATTTAGATTTTATTGTTAGAAGGAGTAGTACTAAGTAGCATGGTGCAGTAATTAATTTAATTCTGTCTCACATTTCAGGATGATTCTGACAGCAATAATCGTGAAGATGTTCTTCCTGCACCATCATTGGATCAACCTGGGCCCTCTGGATTGATGTCAGGTCAGGGAATTGCAGCCTTGGACAAAGCTACTTCAGGTAATGTGCATTCTTTGTTTATGTTTTGTGAAAGGGTAATTTCCATCAGTTACTGTGAGGAGCGTGAGAGAGTAAAGTTTTTGTTATGCACATGGTAAAAATACAAACTGTGTGTTTCTTAGAGAAGTAGGATGAGAGAGAGTGGATTTATCTATGTCAGGGTAGGGACCAGTTGCTCACTTAAACTTCAGGGCATTGGCGTACAAGCCAATGTTTTTTATCGTGAGTTTGTAAGATGTAGATTGGAAAACTTGTCTTCTATAAATATTTAGAACGAATGATCATGTGTGGTGCATGTTGTCTGACAATATGACATGTCAAATTAGGAACCTCTCTCCTTTGTTTATGTGGAGTTATTTTTAATGTATTATATTATTTACCATTTTTACAACTTATGTGGGGGTGAGAAAATAAATAAGATTGAGGAGAGATAAGCCACACGATCGCACCAGATTTTGTCAACAGCAGTGATGATGATGATGATACTAGTGATGACCATTACAATGATGTGATAAACTGACAAAGTGTTTTGATTGAAAAGAGCATCCTGTTATGTAATGTTCTGTGAGGGGTTCAGTATTATTTTGTTTTGACTCTCTGTTAAGACATTTTATAAAGGGGGATTTCGTTGCTGGGTTTTCGCAGTAATCTCTAGTTTGAGTACAGTGTTTGCCTCTCAGTTAGCTCTCACTTGCAAGTGACAACATGTTTATTTCAGTGAGCTTAGTGCAGTTTATCTTTCACAGAATTGTAGTGAATATATTTAACATTTTACTAGCGACAATGTCTCCAGTGTTATTTACATTTCTAATTCATCTGTAAAATTGTTCTGCAAATTTAATTTTACTTAGTAGAAGAATTTCTGGAGGTCCCAGGGATTGCATTATGCCCACAGTCATTTGGGAATATGTGGTCTAACTGATTTGATGTATTTATTTAGAGTTCACATTTCTTTCACCAATTTAGTCTTGGAAAGTGTCTTGTGTAAAATACGATTACAGATCACATACTACTTGTAGTTTTATTCTGATGACAGACAGTCACAGAGATGTGTTTTTTATATGAGCAGATTGGTGTGAAAGGATTATGTTGGGGCAAAAATGGAATCTTTCAAGGAATGAACTGATTTTGTACAGATATTGAGATAGCTGTAGGTGAATTAAATTGGGAAGTTTTCATAAAAGTTATCTCATATTCAGAATTTTGCATTTCATCTCTTGGCAATACATGATCAATTATAAATATAGTTGGTTGTTCTCAGTTTCATGAAAGTTATGTTCTGGTGCTTTGCAGAAAATTTTATGGGTGGATTTAATGAACCATTGTCTACATGGAGGTTGTTATATCATTTTTGTTGATTACTTTCAAACTAGACAAGCAGTCATCAGTATTTTTAAATACAGTTTATCATTTAACTGGTCCATTAGTATGGGTTATATGTTGAATACTGTTCAGTTTTGAGCATATTAGGGTTTGTGTAGATGGCTTTCTTCAGGGTTGTACTGCCATATAGTCTGGTAGAAGTTCACCAACATTTCAGAGGTCCTTGCTGCCTGTATCATCAGGATGATGAGTAAGCTGTATGCACGTGGAATCACTTGTGATATAGGAACCGGTCAGTCATGGCAGAACCATAACTGGACCAGTGGGAAGTTGGGTCAAGATTGGACGAGGGCCAGTAGAATGGGGGGGGGGAAGGGGTGCATGCCACAGCCTAGTCAGAAGGAGGGGGGAATGTCATGCAAGAGTGCAAGAGAATGAGGTTAAAGGAGGCGGCCCTTATGAGGGCCCCTCGGGGACCAGTAGGTGGATCGCCAGACATAAGGAAGTGCATTTAGATGTAATGAGGAGAGCAAGGAAGAAAATATACAGAGAGAAAATGTACATGACATAAGAAGTTGAAGAGAGGAATAAGAGGAATTTTTGTGTTTCTGAAAATTTGATTGTTATTTTGTTTTGAAATTGTAATAGCTGTTACATGATAAGGAATGTTAAAAACAAAGATTTTTATCAACTTCTATTATATATCACTGAGAAATCTCCAGTTGCATACGTCATTCCGAGGAACCGATTTTGCACTCGCGACTCACGTTCAGTGCATCAGACACATGCAGATGTTTAGTTACTGGTAACAGTGATATGCTTCTGTCCCTTGAAAGTGCCATACTTTCTTAGAGTTCAAATTCATTATAGCTATGTATGTTTTTCTTCTACATTTATTGGCTCTAACAATATTTTTTGTTCCTTTAAAATGCTTCTACTATCTGAATACCTATAGCTCCTCAATGTAACTGGTCCTGTGGCTTGCTGGAAAAACTGGAGAGTTTCATGACAATTTTTCCAATCTTCTTGACACAACATCCAGTCACACATCTTGATCTTATAATGCACTAAATATCATCGAAGGCCATCATACCAGAACTAACTTTACAAAGAACATGATAATGCACAAACTGGACAAATTTTAGCAACAGCTGTCGTGCTGCTGACACAGTAAGGTTACTACAACAATATAACATAACCTCTGATGTGCTCATAATGTTGACGGCAGAGCAAGTTTGCCAGTCTCATTGCTTGTTGAATATCTGTCTTGTGCCATACAATGTTCAAGACTGTTCTTGTTCTTTAAAAAGTTTTCTGTAAGTTTTTTGATTAGATCTCATGATTGACATTATTTTCTTGTAAAAGAATAACTTTGACTGTCTTACAAGTTTAGTTGATCAGAGTGACGTTAAAAGTTTTCAAGAATATGGCTGCATACAGAATGCTGCCTTACAAATATTTGTTTTTTTATGGATAACAGGAGTGTGTGTGTTTATAATCCATACACGTGCATGCAATTTTGTTTGATGATTGTAGGTGCACTCATTTTGTTTTCAGTGAAGCAGGTAGGTTGCCTTTTCTTTACGTAGAGATAATGTAGTTTGTGTTTGTTAGCGAGAGGAGTCGGCTCCCAGATCGTGACTTCTGTACCAAAAGGTTGTAAATATTCTCATACCAGTTCCTCTCCTTGCAGCCAGCATGAATAACTCATAATTAAAATATCATGCACATTGATTATTAGTTAGCATTGTCAGACTGGAGTATGAGGTTGTTGGGAATAAAATTCTTATTAAGCTGTAGGTTACCAACCTAATGGATGTCATCCAAAATGTGGATTCTTTCATGTACCTGAGTGAGATGGTCGGAAGCTAGAATGTTGCAAAACCACATCTGGCAGCATGGGCCACAATCATCATCATAAAAGATGGTGGTTGCGTCTGACAATAAAGTGATTTGTTGAATGAACGATTAGTATGTGACTGCAGTAAAAAATTTGAGGCTCAGTAAAAGACAGCATCACAGGTCTTATTGTATATCATATTCAGCTGTATTTCTTTCTTACTGCAAATATATTACAGTAAATGAAATTTATTATAATTTATTTGTTTGCTGTATTGGCACCCGCTTGTACTTCTAGGTGATATCCATTAAACTATTACACATATTCAATTTTTAATGTTTCTTACTTCATAAAGTAGTAGTTTTCCATTTATATCTGATTATAATTCATGTGTGATGAAAAGATAGGAGTTGGAACTTCACTTGCTGGAAAACTTCCCGGAAATGAATTGTAATTTACCCGATTGTGTATGTCACTCTTTAATACAAAAAATAGCCCAGAATTATGTATTGTATGCCAATATTTTCAAAACAGTTTTAGGCCTTATAGTATGTGAAGGAGATTGATTACCGTGCTGTGTGGTTTTTATGATTATTTGTAGAGGCTGAAAATTGATATTTCTTCATTTCTGTTTTCCGTCTCGTGCTGAACTCTAGAGGGAAAAACAGTTGCCGAAGTCTGTAAGAGCATCATAGCAAGTGTATTGTTTAGAGAGCTGATAAAAGGTGGTTCATGTTTGCTTTCTGTCTTATTAAACATTTGAGATTCAAGATATCAGTAATAGATCATTTTTAGTGAGCGATGGTTTTATAGGTTGGAAGGAACTTAATATTACAATTTTTTTTTATTTTACAGAAGTGCTGTAATTTTGTGACAGAAATACTAAAATTGCTAAGGTAAATGGACACATTTCCTGTTGAGGAGTATGTAATTGTTTTCATTGTATTTTGTCGTAGTGGAAGGTAGATTCTATGACCTTATTCTTTCTGGTTCTCGACAGTTTATTATCTGTTTGCTGTAGTATACAGTATTACTTAATGTTGGCAAGCAGTGAAGAATTATGAGTTATTTTATGCAATGCTAATAGCAAGTTTTCCTTCATCTTCCCTTTCCTCTCAATTGCCTAGCTGAATAGCCACCCTAATCCAGATTGATTGTGTGTTTACCTGCTTTTTAAAAGCGTATGTTTGGAAAGTCAAATAATATGGATAAAGTCTTCTTCCATGTCTCACCTAATTACTCCTATGAAATTTACCGCTGTTGCAAAAGATTGACTCACTGAACTGAGGGAAAAAGTTTACTGGAAGTCATGACTGGTGTGCAGATTCCCCGCGCTGGCAACGTGGAAATTACCCTTTCTTGTGTAATGTGTGTTGTTTTTGAGTGGGGTGTGTCTTGCCAGGGTGGCTACCAAACAGGAAACTCCACTAGTATCCTTACTATGATGTTATATGTAATGTAATTTTCATGGAATTGGCATTCTGTTTAAAAATGATGGAACACTGAACATAGAATCCATTATTGTTAGCCCTCAAGCTGTTGTGTTGTAAATTCTAGCAATACTGAAATTGAGCTACTTCATGCATTCAGATTGAATTTTATAGCTGTGCTCAGAATCTACTAACTTAAATGTTCGCGGTATTTTGATACCAAACCCAGTTTTATATGTACATCGTCAGTAATGTCGCGTGTCATCATAGTAAAGAGGTTTGGTTGGCTGGTGCTGAAGATGATATATTAAGAGGAAATGAAGAGAACAGAGACCCCAGCTGAAGCCCATTATCATGTAAGTTACTTGCATGCACATTGTGTGTGATTTAAATTAGGTGAAGTGTGT